GGAAACAATATCTTGTCATTGATCTCTCTTTTTGTTGTCTTATTATTTTATTTTGAACCAAAAAGTTGTTTAAATGTATAATCACATTTATTTTTTCCTTAAATTGAGTGTGGATCAAAGTTCATAATAAAATGGACAATTTTTGGTTTTTTTTTTTTCAAACTTTCATTGCATTAATTAAATATTTTTGGGCTTGGTTGCATTAATCAAAGTTCATTGCATTAAACTTTCATTGCATTAATCAAAGTTCATTGCATTAATTGATTAAATGTTTTTGAACGAAAAATAAAATGGACCATTAGTAGACTTTATATTATGTAAACATGACTACATTCATAGTTCATCTACGAGAAGAGACAGACACAATAACACTTGAGTACAGACATGCATCGGCATCTTTTCTGATTTTCGAAATTTACTTATTTTCCTTTTGAATCTTTAACGTTTGTTTGTTCTTAGCCTTTCTGGTTTGATGAATCAGTGGTAATTTATTATCGAGCCACACTTCATTTCACTTCTTTGAGGCTCAGTATCTTCTATATATTAATTGAAGAGACCGTTAAATTTAACCAATCAAAACATTTCAACTAAAATTATACTATGTCATAGTGAAACTTTTTACATATCTTCATTAATTTAATAACAAAACTCCATTAATACATGTTTTACAAATTTAACTTCAACTAAATGTAATATTTACCATATATTTTAATTTATTTTTCTGATATATTAACAAAAATTTTGTAATTATATTTATAAAAATATTTCCTATTGTGTATATATATATTTAGATTTTTTTTTGTCAAAAGTATATATATTTAGATTAATATTCAATATATATATATATTATTATTATGATGTCGTCTATTATACATAATTAATCACATTTACAAATATTCATATATTTTATTATTGGAAAACATATATCGTGTTTCGTTTGTTATGTCCGATAAATTCATATAAATCTAAATTTATTAGATTTAACGTATGTTTTATAATTTACACGAATATTGAAGATCAATTTTACACTTAAAAGATATTGAAATAAATGACATTTGCGTCTCAATCAATTCTACACATAAAAATATTAAAACTCATGGCTTGATCAAAGTATTCAACTTTATGCACA